TTCATTCTTCTCTTTAATAATAATAATAATAATGATGGTGATGATGATAATAATAATATATATATTTGCTACGGTATGAAAAAAGGGGCATAAAATTTTTTTTTTATAGTTGTTGTTATTGTTGTTAACCGTGACGTAATTTATATTTAATTTTATTACCCGCCAAAACGAAAAAAAAAAAAATTTTTATTTATTAAACAGTAATTGACGATGATTGTAAATAAATAAATAAATAAATAAAAATTTAATGTGTCGATAGAACTTTACGATACAAACCGTAATAATAATAATAATAATTTATTATTATTTTTCGGTAATACGAATCCTCCTGTATTAACGTGCCTAAAGATGTAATCAAAATAAAAAAAATTTTCGTCAGCGAATTTAAAAAAAAAAAAAAATTATTAACGTGGTTTTCCGTCGTGGAATTAACGAAACGAAACAAAAAACGACCTAATTAATACACATATTAAAAAAAATGTTATTATTAACGCGTACGCACGCATAATTACGCATTTATTACGTTTATTTAAAAAAAAAAAATTCCGCACCGTATTTTCCATCATTTTTTCCTCAATTCAATAGTTTTCCATCATTCAAGATGATATCAGGTATTAATTATTTTATATATAAAGTAATTTTTAATATTATTATTATTATTATTATTATTATTTTATTACTTACTCGTAGAACGTAATAAAAAAAAATTAATAGCATAAACCGTAATAAATAAATAAATACGCCTACGAGAGATTGGATTAAATAAAATTGTTTACATTTTCTTTAAACCTGATTTTTTAATTTATTTAATAATAAATAAATAAATAAATAATTTTTTAAATGTTAATAAAATTTACGTAAAATTTTAAACACAACATTCATCAAAATTTATTAATAATAATAAACAAACAAAATTTTTTTTTGTTTGCGTATTTTCATCATCATCATTATTATTATTGTTTATAAAAAAAAAAAATTGTTTATAATAATATGTTTCGGTGCGTTTGTATGTCTGTGTATAATATTATTATTATTATTATTATTATTACGGATGCAATTTTTTGTTTTTTGCGTACAATAATAATGATTTCAGGTACGGTTGTTTTTTTTTTCGTTCTTACGTTGGCAATCCTTTTTTTTTTTATTGAAATGCGCGCGAAATTTTAATGTTTCCCTACTACCACTCCATATTTTGAATTATGTTACCGTTTTTTTTATTTCGGATCCGAGTTTATACCGTCAAATATTTTATTGATCGAATTTAAAAAAAAAAAAGAAGGAGAATCAGTGCCGTAGGTAGAAAAGATTATAAGAAACAGATAAAAAATTGTTCCTTTTTTTATTTTATTTCTTTAAATAAATAAATAAATCATTTAAAAAAAAAAAAATATGGGAGGATTCGAATTCGCGAGATTTGGTTTTTTGTTAACTTAACAAACACGCCGTACGTATATAAATTTTTTTCGGGGGGGAGGGGAGCCACCCGTTTGAGTTTTTACCGATGAAAAAATTTTTCAAATTTAAAACCCGATATTTCATATCGAAATAAAACATCAAATTTTTTCTTTTTTTTTTTTGTTAATTTAAAATATAAACAAACGCTCGTGTTTGTTTTAGATCACGATGAGCTAGAACATTATACAAACTCAAATTTAAATTATTAACAATAACAAACGGTAACAAACGACAAACGCAATTTTTTTTTAATGACAAAATAATTCAATAAAAAAAATTAAAATTTGTTTAAAATATTGTTAATAAATATTTCTTCAAAAAAAAAAAAAAAAAATTAAACAAATTAAAATCATTTAAAATTAAAACACTATTATTATTATTATTATCATTATTATTATTATAACCACATTTTGATAAATTACAAATAAAAATATTAACAACATAATCAAAACGATATCAAAATAAAAAAAAATAAAATTAATCCTATTTATAAATAATATAAAAAGGTAAAAGTCGTAAATTTAATAAGTCAGTCAGTAAGTCAGTGTTGCCAAAATAATTACTTAAAACGTAAAAAAAAAAAAAGTTACAAAAATATATAATTATAAGATTTAAATAAAAATGCCACGACAATAAATAAATAAAAATGAATTAATTAACGTTAAAAAATATTTAAAAACAAATTTTTTTAAAAAAAAAAATTTCTACTTTGTTGTTGTTTGTTGTCAGTTAAATTCATGGGTTTAGAGAGTAAAGCTCATTTGCGCACTTTTTTAATTTTCTATTTACGTACGACGTTTTTATAAAAAAGTGTTTGTGTTTGTTATAAAAAATAATTTTTAATCGCGGTTATTTACAAAAAAAAAAAAAAAAATGTTTACCCCGTACGAATTTAATTCTACGACTACGCCTTAAATACATAAATCTACGTTGGTTTTTGCCCAATGGCGAAAATTTTTTTACTATAAAGGTGTTAATTACAATTTGTCCAATTCAATTACAATTCCCTACAAATGTTTCTTCGTAATTAAATTTTTCTTTTTTTTGTTGTCATTTTAAAAAAATCATTTATTTTAAATCGTTTAATTGATTTTTTTTCATTAATATTTAGAAACAAACACAAAACAAAAACAATTTAAATTAGGCTTTAATAATCATTTTTTTTTTGTTAGTAACGTAATGGAAAAGTTTACTACTGACACGTTTGTATTAAATTTAATTTTTTTTTTTTTTTAAAAACCTTAACAACCGCGAAAACACAAGTTTTAAACATAAAAAAAAATAACGATTCACTACAACATTTTCGAACGTGTTAAACGATTGTAGTGTCAATAAAAATATGCAAAAAAAATATCAATAAAAAATTTTTTTTTATTGATATTGGCTTGAAATTCATTTAAAATGTATGTTCATTTAAAATCCTTTTTTTTCAAGTTTTGTGACATGTTCTCTCTCTCTCTCACTCTCTATCTATCTCTTTTTTTCATCTGTCATTTTATTTGTATACTAAAAAAAAAAAAAAAAAATTTAAAGGAATTCAATTTACCACGCATTTTTTTTTGAAAGCAGAATGTTTTTCATATTGGTTTCTCATAATTAAATAATAATAATAATAATAATAAAATTTTGAAGTGCAAGAGAGAAGGAAGAGGTCGGAGGTGAGAAGAAGAAGAAAAAGACAGTGAGGAAGGAAGCTGAGCGTACCTTAAAAATTAAACACAATGACGAATCTAAAATGTCTTTAAAAAACTTTTTTTTTTTTTTTGATAAAAAGAAAAAAGAAACAACAATACATGTTAAAGTATATATTGTGAGAGATGTTGTTGTTGTTGTTGGTTGTTACTTTTTGATGGTTGCGTAATGGTTAAAGGAAAAAAAATATAATTAATTGTCTGGTGAGGAAACTATTAAATAAACCAATAGTAAATTAAAACGTGAAAGGAGAGAATTTTATATATGTATATAAATATAAAAATTATGTTTGTTTTTTTTTGTATGCGTTGTTTGTCTGTTTGTTTCTCATGATCGTGTCTACCTACTACCTGTTGTTGTCAGGCGTGAACTAATCATTTAAATAATTTTTTTAATTATTTATTACTTTTTTATAATAATTGTCGCGTAAATTTTTTCCTTTCCTTTATTGTTTTTAACATAATTATGACGTCGTCATATTTTAATTTTTATAAAGTTGGTACCTGTATTTAGTAAATAAGGGTTTAAACGTCGCTGTTTTACGATAGTGGTTGTAGAATGTGTTATCAATTGCAAACGTTATCAAAACGCACGATGGCGTAATAATCCCAACACGATTCACGCTTTTCAAATGTTTTTTTTTGGTGATAAATTATAATTTGAAACATTTTTATTCGATAAATACGTAAGAAGCAAAATCATCTTAAAAATCTCGCAGTTTTAAAAAAAAATTATTTTCATATCAAAAATAACGGTCGATTTTTATTTAGTATATTTTGAATTTAAAAAAAAAACGTTAAAGGAAAGGAAAAAAAAGATTTGATAAGAATCAGGTTTACCAAATTTGGCTCACTTACAACAAACAAACGTCGGTAAATACCTTAAATATACCTGATCAATAATAATAATAAGAAGTAAATTAAATTGTCGGCTGCTTTTAAAAACCTTAAGATTCCTTCTTGTTGATGATGATCAAAACAAAGTGTAGGGGTTTGGGGGATAGTTTAAATTGGGTTTTCCTTTTGTAAATATCGTCTGCTTCCGACGTCGTAGTCGTCGTCGGTAATTTTGACATTTTTTTATGTAAGACAATGTTCGTCGGAGGTTTATTAAAATTTCTTATTGTCGCAAAATTTCAATTTTCGGACAAAGGTATTTTTTTTTTTTTGTGAAAATCGGTCATGTATTACAAAAAATTATTCAGGTATAAATTTACCTAGACAACATTACCAATTTTTTCTCTCTCTCTTTTACGTAGATCTATCCGTCTCTTTTTTTTTTTCTACTTCGTAACCCATTATTTACTGTTTTTGTTATTCTTTTCCGAACTCTTCGGATTTGAGTGTATTAGAATACTTTTGAAAAGTTGACAAACGAAAAAAATACAATGAGATAATGTGGTCCAATAAGGAGTTTGTAGTAGTGGTAGTAGTAACAGGACCGCAAATAGACATGAGTTTGTTGAAAGGTGAATAATAGAAAAGAAAAAGATTTTTTTTTTTTCTTTTTATTTGAACCCCATCAAAGTCTGGATTTTATTAATAATCTTTTGTTAAACGTGATGAAGAGGAAAGAAAGAGAGAGAGAGAGACAGAGAGAGAGAAAGAGAGAGAGGAGAGATGTGATTCTTTTGACATATTTTTAAAAATTATTATTTACTTTTTAAATATTGATTTTTTTTTTTTTATTTTTTCATCACGTGGTTTTCAACTTTTTGTTTTTTATTAATTTGCCAAATCGAATAATAATAATAATAATAATAATAATAATACTTACGATGTTAATTTAATAATAATAATAAATTGAAATGATACCTCATGTCATCCGATTCATATAAATCGGTAGCGTTTGTTTATGTTGTTATCGTTGTTGTTGTTGATATTTTTGTTATCGAATCGGATTTCAATTATTATTATTATTATTATTTATTAACAACAATTGTTTTACTACATGTTTTTATTTTTTTTCTCAAAAAATTTTATTTTGTAAGTTTAAATAATTTTTATAAATACGAATGAAGAAGAAGGCGGAGGGAAGGAGGGAGGGATGGAGGGAGGAAGGGAGGGAAAA